CCAAACAAAGTGTCGTTTGGGCCTACCCGCTGGGCTGAGTGCAAAATCAGGCCTTTAGGGCCTGTGACCCTCAAAGGTCGGGCCTTGAGGCCCTGGTGTGTCCCTCCGGCCCTAAGTCGGGTCCGGTAGGACCCGTGTGACTCGAAGATGTAACACCCTACCCTACACCCTACACCCCTTACCCCCTACCCTTTACCCCTACCCTACCCACTACCCACTACCCCCCGTGCCCCCTACCCTCTACGCCCTACCCTCTACCCACTACCCCCCTCCCCCCGACCCTACACCCTACACACCCTACACACCCTACAAACCCTACACACCCTCCCCCTATCCCCTACCCACTACACCGTACACACCCTACACACCCTACACCTACACACTGGACACCAGACACCCCCTGCACCCTACACGCTACACCCTCCTTAGCATCAGTGCTCACATTCTCCAGGGCGATTTCATTGCATGAGATACTGTCTCTGCCTCGCACATGTACACGGAGGCCATCCTGCGATGTAAAGTGTTATGCCGTTTCTTGTGTTGTAATTATTTCAATGTCTTTTGATTTTGCACAGTTTTTTTTAGGAAGGGGGAAAATGAAAATGAAAGACTCGAAGGACAGATGGGGATGCCCCACTTACCTACCATGTTCCCCTGAACACAACACCACCCTGATCAATGTGATCATGAATGTATACAAGCTATCTTTCCAGTCGAATACAGTCATCATGTGGGTGAGTTGTATGCAGCAGACGACGGTAGGGCGAGGTGTCAGTTCACACAGCGGGCTGTGTGGGCCTGTGTTAGGCGGACTGCCTTCTGTCTTCGGGGAAAAAGAGGGACAAGTACACACTGTGCTCCGGAACAGTGTTTAGTTGGACAGATTTGTGCTTGTTGGCTTGCAGAAAACTACCAAAACTCACAGCCCTTGGATTTTGTCCTCCTTTTTTTGAAGTAGTGTTCGAAAAATCATAAAAAATGCATACAGTATCGTACATTTTTATGATTGTTTCTAAATTTTAATTAATCAGTGGCAATTTCACAATTTGTACATGTCATCCCTGTTTAGGGGCCATTCTAATAGTCACTCTGTTGCTCCTATTTCAGTGGATGTTCTGGAAGGGCCAAGTTTTCCCCTTTCTTGTAGGTTTATGTGAGTTTTTCAGGTTTTTCTGTTCCCCCCCCAAAAAAAATTGCAACAAAGACTGCTGAAAAGAGCGAATTCCATTGTTTAGAACAGTAGAAGTGACTTAGAAGAAGAAGAAGAAGAGGAGGAAGAAGAAGGAGAAGAAGAAGAAGAAGATGAAGAAGAAGAAGAAGAAGAAGAAGAAGAAGAAGAAGAAGAAGAAGAAGAGGAAAGAGCGAATTTCATTGTGTAGAATGGTAGAAGTGACCACGAAGAAGAAGAAGAAGAAGAAGAAGAAGAAGAAGAAGAAGAAGAGGAAGGAGAAGAAGAAGAGGAGGAAGAAGAAGAAAAGGAGGAGGAAGAAGAAGAAGAAGATAATGAAGATTGTTTGCATGCTCTTAATGAACCTCACAACGAAAATTGTGAAATAAGTTCGACATCGACATCAATTGAATTGAAATTAATTAATTAATTAATTAATTTTATTAAATTATCCTTTTTATGTTGTCGTGTTGGTCCTTCTAACCACCACTGATTCCTGTGTCAATTCATAAGAAAGAATTCCATTTTGAATCTGTGAAATTGTGTGATTGAATCATTGCATTTTCATTTATTTTATTTTATTTATTTATTTATTTATTTATTTATTTATTTATTTATTTATTTATTTATTTATTTATTTATTTTTGAATCATTGCATTTTCAATTCCTTTTGACTTTCATTTTTGTATCAGATGCCCGAAGCTCGATGGGGGTTCGGTTTGGTTGCATCGAGAGCAGGACTTCTCCACAAAGCAGAGGTAAGGCCTGAGCATGACCCGCGCAGGGAGATATCTGCTGTGTTGGGAGCTCTTGCTGGGATCTGCTGCTGAAACAAGTTAGAAGGGCGATGCTGGTTCGTTCCCACAAGCACTCCAGTGATAAAAAAAAAAAAAAAAAAAAAAAGGGCGATGGGCTTGGGATATCTTTGTCTTGATTGGACCGGCCCTAGGCGATTCAGAATGAGTTATTCAATTCATTAAGGTCCAGCAGGATTTGAACTTGGGTCTGTATTTCAACAGTTCATGGATGTACCGATTGCGCTAGACTCGTTGGTAGCACAAGCACTCTGATTCTCGTCTGTTGTCAAATTGGCACGTTATGTCCTCCACGAGAGTAAAGCCTCACATATTGTGCTTCTATCTACGATTGTGATTGTGTTCTATCTTCTATTTTCTGTTATTCTCTCTCGCCATGTTCACAAGCTCAAGTTTGCTTCTCTTTGTGTGCTCTGTCTTCTGAAAAATCCTCTTATTTTTCTGCGGAAGAAAGGGGAAAAGCGTCCACCAAAGCTATGTTACCCGGCCGGACGTCCAGGACCCCCCTGACCCCCCAGACCGTCCAGGACCCCCCTGACCCCCCAGATCGTCCAGGACCCCCCCCTGACCCCCAGGACCACTGGGCCAAACGTCCACCCGGGCTCTTGTGTCCGCTCCTACTGAAATTTACCTGAATATTCTTTTTTTTTTAATTGTTTTTTGACAATTTTTCTGTGGGTTCTCCATCAGATGAGGTATATGCCCATCAAGTTTTGGGGCATTTGGATCAAGAGAAAATAAAAATAAAAATCGCTGAAGATGGCGGTGTCGAAAACATGCTCTCCGAGTCACTATTTTCAAGTATTTTGGTTTTTTGTTTCCTTGTTTATTTTATTTTGTTCTAGGCTACCCGCCGGGCCACCAGGGTCACCTTGTTTGCCCGGGCAGCCAGGCCGTGCAAGGACCAAACAAGGTCCCAGTCTCGCAGCCACAAAAAAAAAAAAAAAAGCCTAAATCTAAAAAATGATAAAAATCTGAAAAGAAATTACGTTATGCAGAAAAACGAAGTGAACATCTTTTGCCTCAGGGTCCCACCGCAATTTACCAAATTTAAAATAAAAATTTATAAGTATGTTTTTTTTTTTTTACTTTCTTTTTAAAATATGTTTTGGGCCTTTTGACCCAGCCGGGCAAGTGGTCCTGGGGCACTCTGGTAGCCTGATGCTTAAATATTTCGATTTTTTTGTTTTTTTGTGGTTTCTTGGTGAAGCGAGTGAGGTATACCCTTATAAATTTTCAGGGAATTTGAATTTATTAAACAAAAAAATTCACCAAACATTGCGGTGTCAAAAAAAAAACAGGATAGTGGGTGGGAGGGAGTCAGGGAGAGCGTGTTTTTCATAATGCGGAAGGCCAAACGCAAGTGTATGCTCCGTTTCAACAGTCTGTGTAGGTTTTTGGGTTCAGGTTCCACGCACTATCTGGCGCGTTACGGCTGGAGGACGCGGTAGGTACTGGCGGTTTGATAATGCGGAAGCCCGAACGCAGGTGTATGCTGCACTTCAACATTCGTGTACGTTTTTGGGCTTAGGGTTCATGTGTGGGTGTAAGGAGACTGACATCAGGCCTCAATGTTGTGTGTGGCAAACGCAGGTGTACGCTGCACTTCAACAGTGTATTACCCAAACTCCCCAGGAGGTCTCGGTGTTTAATGTGGCAGCGCTATCCGCCGAGGCACGAGGGTTGATACAGGAAGCGATTGCTCTCCTTAAGGCAGCTGAAGAAATTGCATGTTTGGAAGTTGGTAGCCCAATGGCTTCTGAAGAGTTAAGGAAAGACCAAGTCAGCAGCCTTCAGAAGAAGATCATGATATCACTGAATCTCGCTCGTGTGCTGATGAAGGTGTGTTTGCTTTTTTTTTAAACGCCCCTGTACGCCGACTTTGGGCTTGTGACTGCCCATGGCCATGGTTACTACCATCTTCACCCGAATTCAACGTATGGTCATTATTGCTGTATGTAGACTCATATTGCCCCAAAAATACACAGCTTTTTTTTTTTTTTTTTTTTTTTTTTTTTTAATGACCGTACGTTGTATTCGGGTGAAGATGGAAGGAGGTTTGCCCTGCCTCAGTACGTCTGTTCGATTGAGGATCTGATGGCCTCACATGTTTATTTTTTTTTCTTCTTCTTTTTCTTTTTTTTTTTTGGCTTGATTTTTTCAGGATGTATTGCTGGTTTAATAATGTAATAATAATACTATAATAGTGTATATTAGGCTATTATTAGCTTATTATGAGCTTATTAACTTGATCAAGCGGTATCCATTAGATCAGACGTTGTTAAACAGAGCTCAGCTGCAAAATCGAAAGGACACTCTCTGATACTGCAGACACAGCATGGTTCCCGTTGATTTTGCGACTCTGCTCTGTTTAATAGCTGTCGATTTTGCGACTCTGCTCTGTTTAACAGCTTCAACTAAGTGATAATAATAATAAACTTAAGTCAGGGCATATACTCACACGACGACTTCTTTGGCTGAGTTATTTCCGGATGGAATCGCCCTTGGATATGTCAACCTCTAGCCGCAATTGCGGTCGCGGTTAGATATATCCAGGAAAGTTCTAAAGTGAGTATGCTTTCAGTGTATGACACCCATCCAACTTTTCTGTTTGGCTTCTTAGAAAGATATATCCAGGAAAGTTTCTCACTTTTACGTTCACACAACTTGACAGAAATTCAGTTTAGAAAGATATATCCAGGAAAGTTCTTAGTAACTTCTTACTTTACGTTCACACAACTTGACAGAATTCAGTTTTAGAAAGATATATCCAGGAAAGTTCTTAGTAAGTTCTTACTTTTACGTTCACACAACTTGACAGAATTCAGTTTTAGAAAGATATATCCAGGAAAGTTCTTAGTAAGTTCTTACTTTACGTTAATTCAGTTTTAGAAAGATATATCCAGGAAAGTTCTTACTTTTATGTTCACACAACTTGACAGAATTCAGTTTTAGAAAGATATGTTCAGGAAAGTTCTTACTTGTACGTTCACACAAATTGACAGAATTAGAAAGATATATCCAGGAAAGTTCTTACTTTTACATTCACACATCTTGACAGAATTCAGTTGAGTAACTTAACGAAAGAACGTAAGGTAAGAAGTAAGTACAAAGAAGCCAAACAGACAACAGGTTGGTTTATCTTCGGCTTCACAGGATGGTTGGCTTCACAGAACTTGGTAAGTTGGTAGGTGTGAGCCTTTATTTTTCGTTGAGGCGGAGCCCCCTGCGCACCAAGCGTTGCCAAAATGCCAGCACGGCGTTGTTGTTGTTCTTTTTTTGTTTTTTCTTTCGATCCGGGAGCACTGTACATCCTAAGTCTTCGGAATTTTTTCCATTTGCACTTCTCAACGTTACCTGGGAAAGGTAGTGGTGGTTTAAACCTTTTCTTCTATTGCCAAGCGGCTTCATGCTTGCTTTCCGCCACTCGTCAGTATGGCAGTAATCTGTTTGTCTCCTTCTTAAATCTTCTTTTTCTTTTTCTTTTTCTTTTTCTTTTCAAGGGGTAAGCCCTAACATAATCGTATAGAGCAGGTTTTAGACTCACAGTAATCTGCCTAGCCCATCCCCATCCCCATCCCCATCCCCGTCCCCATTCTCGTCTGCATCCCCATCCCATCCCATCCCATCCCATCCAATCCAATCCCATCTCCCATCGCATCCCCATCCCATCCCCATCCCATCCCCATCCCATCCCCATCCCATGCCATCCCATCCCATCCCCGTCCTATGCCATTCTCCCCATCCCGTCCCATTCCATGCCATCCCCGTCCCCATTGCTATCGCTATCGCTATCCCGTTCCCGTTCCCATCCCCATCCCCGTCCCCCTCCCCTTTCGCCGTCGCCGTCCCCGTCCGCTCCCCATCTGCGTCTCCATCCTCATGTCGTCCCACCCCATTCCAACCCCATCCCATGAAATTTATCCCATCCCATCCATATTTTTTCTCCATCCCCATCCCCATCCCCTCACCCTCTTCATCCCATCCCCATCCCATCCGCATCCCCATCCCATCCCCATCCCGTTCCAGTGCATCCCATCCTGTCACATTCTGTTCTGTCGTGTCCTGTACCGCACCATCCTGATGTGTCCTGTTGGTGTTTGTGTTGTGTTCTGTTATTCCAACTTAGTTGGTTCGGCTATGTTGTTTGGTTCCATCCTGTTCCATTTTATTTCACTTCATGTCGTTTCATGTTTGTGCTGGATCGTCTCCACAGGCTGGGAGAGCTGCAGAAGCACTCGCTATTTATCAGCATGTTCTGCATGATGGTAAGTCGAGTCACTCTCAGTTCTCAGTTCTTCTTCTTCTTCTTCTTCTTCTTCTTCTTCTTCTTCTTCTTCTTCTTCTTCTTCTTCTTCTTCTCCTTCTCCTTCTTCTCCTTCTTCGTCTTCTCCTTCTTCTCCTTCTTCTTCTTCTTCTTCTTCTTCTTCTTCCTCATCTTCTTCTTCTTCTTCTTCTTCCCCCTCCTCCTCCCTCCTTCCTTCCCCCTCAGTCCTCATCTTCTTCGTCCCCTCCTTCCTTCCTTCCCCGTCTTCTTCATCCTCGTCTTCTTCTTCGTCGTCGTCGCCGTCGTCTTCGTTTTCGTCTTCTTCCTCCTTCCTTCCTCCTTCCTTCCCCCTTCTTCCTCGTCTTCTTCTTCTTCGTCTTCTTCTTTTCTTCTTTTCTTCTTCTTCTTCTTCTTCTTCTTCTTCTTCTTCTTCTTCTTCTTCTTCTTCTTCTTCTTCTCCTCGTCGTCTTCTTCGTCTACGTCTTCTTCGTCTTAGTCTTCTTCCTCCTTCCTTCCTCCTTCCTTCCCCCTTCTTCCTTGTCTTCTTCTTCTTCTTCGTATTCTTCTTCACAGACACTGCAGGTTTTTGGGGTGGCCGCGGCGGGTTTCACACAGGCCCGAGCAATTTCACACAGTGTGTGGTTGTTGGTGTGAAAGTGTCTCTCTCTCTCTCTCTCTCTCTCTCTCTCTCTCTCTCTCTCTCTCTCTCTCCCTCTCTCTCTCTCTCTCTCTCTCTGTGTGTGTGTGTGTGTGAGTGTGTGTGTGTGCGTGGGTGACAGTTGCCATAGGTCTGGCTCGTCGCACGTAAGCAATTCACTGAGGAAACAGAAAAAGCACAATGCAATAGATAAGCAATATGTGTCCTATCCCGGACACTCCTTCGATTTCACAACAGAAGCACAGTCAGCACAGAGAGCTCTAAGTCATCACCAGAATTCATCATGCAAAGTCCGATTTCTCAGAAAACGACGCGCGACACCTTAAGTGTCGGCCATATCCTTACTCAGTTCCAAGGCTCTCCCCGACGCCGCGTTTCGGACGGTAGCCAACCGTCCATCCTCAGGGGGGCTCACTCCGCCAACCCAGATCCACTGAACCCAAAAGGCCGAGAGTAACAAACTGGATTACTTTTATCTGTCCGCGGGGACGTGACAAAAGCCTGCTTCTGGAAAAAGGAAAAAGGGAAAAAGGAGAAACGTTGGCTTCGAGCAAAGACTGAGGGAAGTGCAGAAAGGAAATGGTCGGATCCGCCGAACAGCTGGCCGCGGGCATTACTGACACTTACCTCCTGCCCCGCCTGTGCTACTGGCCCAAAATTACCAGTGGAGGCCAGCGTTTCTAGTGCCAAATATTGCCTGCTAGTCCGAGGTTCGATTCCTCGCTATACCGTTTCCCATGTGTATCCATCCTTCCTCATGCACGCCCTTCTTTCTCTCTCTCTCTCTCTCTCTCTCTCTCTCTCTCTCTCTCTCTCTCTCTCTCT